GGATAGTTTTCCCAAACCCGTCATAATTTGATTGTCAAACCAAGATCCAAAAAATACATTCATTTAAAAAAATCGCGACATTTTGTCCATTTGGAAAATTAATCATGTATTCTGCCAAACAAAATCCAAGTTGCCAGCAATCTCTGCTTCTTCGAAGGAATCCTGGGAATATCCTCATTTTTTTATTTGAGGACATTTTTGGCCTTCAAAACCAAAACAATAATTGTACATGGTTGGCAAACAACCCCCCGGGTATTGGTATTTTGGAAACCCTCCAAAAATACGTGGTTTCAAAAAAATCGCGGTACAAAACTCCTGGTAGATTCAGAGACCCGGTCATAAAATCCCTGCAAGAAACCTGGGACCGGATATGAAATTCCTGCCACATTTCCAAGACCGGATATCAAAATCCGGCCACCTCACCTCACCAGGCAATCCCTGCCCCGCCTCTGCAATTTCCACCAGAAGAAGCCAGCTGAAGTTTGCCTGGGTGTGCTTTTACTTAAGGACACTCGACGCAGAGCTCCGCGCACATGCCAAAGCAGTTGATGAAAGCTTTGATTGGCAGAAATTGAGCTTCGTTTTGGAGGCCAAAGGCGTGGCCCAAGATGAGGAACTCAACAAGGCCCAGTCGAAAATCAACAACGCATTGCAAAACTCTTTGCAAGCAGGGTGGTCGCTCTTCGAGACCAATGTCCAAAATGATCAGCTACAACACCGCCGCTACATCTTGGCCTCCTCCGGCGATGAGGCAAAGGCGCGAGCAGCAGCAGTTGCATCCTTGGAGGTGGGAGGTGTTTTTTTGGCTAAATGAAGGTTGGTCAAACACTTTTTGGGTTTGTATGTTCACCTCTTGGAAAGGGTTCACCTCCTTGCATTGAATTGCCATGACCTTGGACAGAAGATGCATGGAGTAGCCTGGAAGCTTGTGAACAACACAGTGACAGAAATTTGCCCAACCTGGTGCAATGCTGCCTCGAACAACAAGAGCACTTCTGTTGGCAGTCTTTTGGTGCAAGATCACACTTTTACTTTTGGGGGGGTTTGTCTCTGACCCTCAACTAGTGTCGTGCCATCATGAAAAAATGAGGTCCCGATGGCGACACCGAGACCAGTGGTCTCATCGATGCAAAGCTGGCACCATGGTTGTCGGAGACCCTGAGTGGCTTGAACTCTGGTGTCCGCCGGCCAGAGCATGAGCTCATCCTGGGGTATTTCAATTTGACGAGTCAAGGCGTACTTTCTACCCACAAGCTGCACTATATGCTGAGTCAAGTGACGACCTTGTGCCATAACAATCCCAGATCTTTCGTGGCTGTGATTGTTCTTCCGAACCGAGCTGGGGATCCCAGGGCTGGAGTGAAGCCCCACAGCTGGAAGTGCACACTTTTTTTTGGTTCCTGGTTTGTTTCAAACCCACACCACACTCTTTTTTGTCCAACGCCCCTGGCCTGGCTTCATCAGGTCAGAGATCAAAGCGGAAGAAGGGGAAGAGAAATCTGAAGATGAAGATGGTTTCTCTTCTCAACAATCAGTTTTTTGCTCATATAACGCCCAAAACGGACCCCCAAAACATGATTTGGACATTTGGACATCCACAGCCGATGTTCCAAAATGTTCCCCAAAACGACAAACCTGGGTGGCCCAAACGCTCTCAAAACAGAAGCAAAAACATCCAAAATTGATGTTCAAACCGGTCCCAAAACGCGCCCCAAACCCTCCAAATATTACATGCGTTTTAGGTTTTGGGGTGCGCTGTTTCAGAGAATATATGGACCTACCAGGCGTGAAAGGCGGAGATGGTGGTGGTGATGAAGAGGACGAAGCCAATTTGTCTGATGATGATCCGAAGAGTGGGGACCTGTTGCTTCGCGATTTCACCTACAAAATTCGTTGCGCCTTCCAGGAGAATGGCAGGAATCTAAAGGTGGCAGGGTCAGTTATGCCAAATCCCTCGGGTGTAGCTGGACCAGGTCAGGTCTATACAGATACCAAGTCCCTCGGGTGTAGCTGGAAATGGTCAGGTCTATATAGGAATACAAAATCTGTCGGTTGTTGCTGGAAATGGTCTTATAGGGATGCCACATCCTTCGGTTGTTGCTGGAAATGGTCTTTGTTTGTTGCAGTTGCCCTGAATCAGGTGAGGCAAGCGATTGTCAACTTCGAGCCCAGCAGCGTCTATGGACAGAGGAATGCGTTCCAAGAGATCTTGGTCATCACTAGCCCAGAGAAGCAGAACCTTTCACACAAGGGCAAGCTGTGGAAGCAAGGGGTGGTTTCTGGTGTGCAGATGCTGAGCCGCTCCGAAATGGTCAAGCCACCCCGTGCAAAATGGGGCGGGGATCCACGGTTCACCAAGGTCCAGGAGATGAAACAGGCCTAAGTGAGCTGAAAACAATGTTTCACTTTTTGTGTTACTAATGGGTGCTTTCTTTTAAGCTTAAGCCCTTAGCCTTGCAACCCCTGGAGTACTGCGGCGGGGAGTCCTTCATCTCCAAAGTGGTTGATGGACTCGTTGTTGGAGACCCACCAATTGTCATTATGGACATGTTTGGTTTCGATGCATGGCCTGGCCAGTTCGCGATTACCCAGTTTGCTCGTGGAGCCTCGCCCTGGTTTTGTTGTTGTTTCTATTTTGTGTGGTTTCAAGTTTTTTGTTGCGATTTCAAGTCTTTTTTGGTTCCTACTCGGTGCACACAGTCTCATCAAAGGCAAGAAGTGCGCATGTGCGACAGTGTGCCATTCCCAAGCAGAGACGGCTTTTGTCAGCTCCGTGTTGGCCACGAAGGTTTTCTCGATGGCCCGCTCAGGTGATTTCCAGATAGCAGCGTTTCCTGATTTCCAGGGAGCTCTTGCCCAGATCAAAGAGTTTCAGAAAAGCCCCCAGCCCTCTTACCAAGTCTGCGTCGCTACTGGAGATGGCTCCCTTGTTGTGCGTCAGTCGCTGGTGGAATTCTGGACCAAGAAACACCCGAGCTTCAGTGACCAAACCTTGCGACTTCTTGAGAAGCACAATGCAGAATTTAACCTGAAGGGGTTGAAAAGAGGTGCTGAAAGCGAGGAGGGCCAGACTCAGGAAACCATGGAGAAGGAGGAACCGCAGCTTGCTTTGGGCACAGCAAAGACGATAGCAGACCTTGAGTCTAGTTACCCAGACGTGGAGAGGCTAGGAAAGGGATCATTTGCTGATTTGTTTCCTCTACTCCAAACTTACTGTACCGTTGTGTCTTTACATTGTTTGGTTTTAATGAAGCTGTTTAAGCACTGTTTGGTTTTGTTGATTCGGTCATCCATTGTTTTGACAACCTGGCCAGGCTTGAGCTCCAGTGTGGACACTTCATGTTGACTTTGTGTGACGACCAATCCTTGTGGATTGGGGCTTCTGGGGCCTATGTGGTGGAGAGCAACACAGAGTTATTTGGATTTGGCAGTGGCGATTTTGTCAAGGGCAGTGAGAGCAAGGACGTCATGAGCGATGTCTCTGCGGATGGGAGGTGGTTGCTCTATGCGTTTACCAGTGCGCAGCAGCCTGTGATTTTAGAGAAGACCCGGCAAGCACCATCCCACTTGGAGTCCCACACCTTTTGGAACCAAGCCTCTTGGAAAAAGAGCAAAAAGACTGTGTGGGCAACCATACCTTCCTACACCCAAATGGTCAGTCAAAAGAACTCCCCAAAAACCTTCTGAAAGAAGCCATTTTGCCTGTTTGATTTGTTCCTTTTTTTGGTGGCAATCTCAGTCAAAAGAACACCTCAAAAACCAGCAATAAGTCATATTTCCTGGTTTTTGATTTGTTCTTCTTGTTTGGGACTGCCCCTCCCACGCTCCACACCATTTTGGCCACCATGACCCTGGTTGACAACATTAGGTGATGAATCTGAATGACCTCCTCAAGACTTTGGAGAATCATGGGGAGGTGAATCACAGCCTTGCTGAGCACAAACTTACAAAGGATGATGTGGGCAACTTTACTGTGTCCCCTACTGATTCCGTATGTTTTGTGCTCGATGCTGCAAAGCACCGGAAGAAGAAAGCAAAGGCAGGATCTTGACTATTTTTTCTGTTACCCAAAAAACATTTCACTCCAATCTTCTAGAACACCATCCTCTGTAGTTTCTTTGTTAAAGACACCATCACAGTGTTGTCCTATATAAGGCCCTTTGACCTCTTGGCAGGTCCAAAGTGCATTGACCTTCGGAGCCAAGATGAACTTTGTAAAGATTCGGTCTTCCCACAACATCCAGATTGCTTGGCGTTTGAGGCCTGTTTTCGTTGAGTGCCAACCCAGTCGACTTGCCCAAAACGTTCCTGCCTGTTTTCGTTTGATCCCCAGTGGCCCAAAGAACTTCTCTGCCAGGCTTCACTCGGAGAACGGCTCTGCAGGGACACAGCTGGTTCCTGTCCGGCCGTGTGCGATCACAGCCGGCTCTGTGAGCATTCAAGCTGGGCAGGTCTTGCAAATTCTGTGAGGGATCTTTTTTCTGTGTAGGGCCTGGCCACCTCTGTTTGGTTTTGTTGGTTGGGTTCAACTTGATGTTTTGTTTCACTGTTTGGTGTTGATCGGAGTCATACCAAAAACCAGCGTGTATCTCTTCAGCTGGTGGCATTGTTTGAAGTGCAAAGGCCTCCACAGGGTAGCACAAACTTCTCAGGGAGTGGAGGCTTAGGACCAAAACAGTTGACCTCTAGAGGCTCCAACAAAATGCAACAGGCATAATATGTCTCCCAAAAACATGTCTCCAAAAAAACGGTTCAGGGTCTAAGAAAACGGTCATGCCTCTGCAGCGTGGTCCCATTGCAATGCAATGGGTAGAAGTGCCAGATCCTTGTGGAACGGCCAGGGGTCACTCACGATGAGATCGTGTGATGTCTTGAAAAAAGTCAAACTTTACAGTGTGCCTTTACACCTGTTTTTGTGCACTTGAACTGCCACTTTCTCGAAAGAAAACAGTGGGAGTCTTTCTCAAAAAGGCTTTCTAGGGTCTCGGGCGGTCAAGTCCATGTCGATGGAACCTGGCAGCGATTCGATGGGGGCGGCAGGCAATTTTTTGTCTTCGCCCACCTTCTCTATGAGGGACTACATGAGCATGGTTGATGGGACCACAACCACACCAGGTCCAAAGAAACCGTCTACGAACCCTAGTCGCCCCACACAGCGCCCCGTTGGGGAAGCACCTTCATCGTCTAAAGGACCAACACGCTCTTTGAGTTTTTGTTGAGGAAAAACCCAATAAAAATAGCACATGTTCAGTCAGTTCGCCCTGCACTACATTCCATTCTTTCTTTCTGTATGTTTCCAGGATTGCTGCAGCGATGTGAGCTCTCTGGCTCTGGATCTGGTGAGTCGAATGAGAAACCATCGAACGATGATGTTGAGGAATTTGATCCGGTTGCTGAACCACCTGTCCAGAAAAAGCCGGCCTCCAAGTTGAAGAAAGGCCGAGCGGAGGTGGAATCGGAGGTCACCAACCTTGGTGGCAAGTCTGGAAAAGATGATGAGGATAATGGAGATGGAGATGATTGTGGGGCCCTTGGGGGTAGTGACAAAAAGAAAAAAAAGGGCAAGTCAGAGTCCAAGAAACAGAAACATGAAAAGAAAGAGAAAAGCACTCGGAAATACAAAAAGCGATCTGGGAAACAAAAGGGTTGCGATGATGGTGGTTCCTTGTCTGACGAAAGCTCAGACGACTCGGAGGGATGCCCTGAAGTTAGTCATGATGACTTGATGGCGGCATCCGATGAGCGAAGAAGAGGACTGGACCCCGTCATACTGTTGATCCGCCCACAGTCGACCCCTGGTGCTCCTTTTTTTCACTGGCCGGTCAGGCGACAGCAGGTTCATGTGCCTAGCTCCAGGGGCCCCACGCCTCCTCTTCATATTCTTCAAGCCTCCGGCGGTAGCACTTTGGAAGGTTCGAACTGGACATCGGCCTCGGAGACTCCTCGCCATCAGCATCGGTCCAGGGCCCTTCACATGCCTCTGCAATCTCACTCCCCTCTGCCCAGCTCAGCCATGTCTCTTGCTTATTCTCCTCTTCCCAGCTCTGCCATGAGTCTTGCCTTCGATCCTTTTCATCCTGAATCCATGTGACACCATCATTGTCAGTCTCATTGTCCTCGAACTCCTCCGGCCATGCACGCATCTTCTTTTTTGAGCTGTTGTAGTCTTCGCGTGCAGGGCGCTTCTTTGGCTTAGGGCCTGTAGCCTTGAGTGCTGCTGCTGCTTCTGCTGGCGCTGCTTCTTTTGTAACCAACCCCGCTGGGATGGGGTGTGGGAGCTTTGAGCTGCCCCCCTTGCTGCCCTTCCCTGGAGCTTTGTCTGAGCCCTTTGAGCTGCCCCCCTTGCTGCCCTTGCCTGGAGCTTTGTCTGAGCCCTTTGAGCTGCCCTCCTTGTTGCCCTTCCCTGGAGCTTTGCCACCTTTGCTGCCCTTCCCTCCCTTGCCTTCACCTTTGGCAGGGATCCAAGCCCACACCCTCAGCCACATTGCAAGAGCTGCAGGCCTACGGTCAGTGTAGGTCCTCCTTTGGGCCAAAGGATGGAAGGGATGCAGTGCAACTCCCGACAACCGATCAAGTCACATCGAAGTTCGATCGAACCCCGGGTGGTAACCCTAAAGGGCCCTTATCGCAACCCTCAAAATCCTTATAGGACCTTAGACCTTGTTGTGGTACATCTGGGATGGGCCCTGTGCACACATGAGACAACAGACCCTAAAAGACAATTTTTGGAAGTGCCCTTTGAAATTTGGTTTACTTCTCAAAGCTCTCAAAACAATTAAAAAGGAACACTTCTGAAAATTGTCTTTTTAGAGCCTGTTGGCCTTTCTTGGTGGTGCTGCTGTTCAACCTCTCTTGCAGGACCAACGACCCGTGGCCAGCGAGCCCCTGCAGGACCGAGCCTTGAGCTGGAAGCTGTAGGAACCATGCCATGTTCACCTTGGAAGGGATACTTTCAATGATTTCTCGAACTTCAAGGAGCGCAGTTTTGATGATCAGGAACCAGTTCAAGCTGTGAAAGAAGCAGTATTGGTGGATGAATGCCACTTGGATGGAGCAATGCAAGGTATGCCAACTAAAAGGTTTTTTTGAAAACTCAGATCTGTTTCTCCCAAGGCCCAGAAGGTGCAGTCCCTGTTGAGGCCTGTGATGACTAAAGATGAACAATAGCTGATTTGTTTCAAGTTCTTTTTTTCTGGTCAGGCTCCTGTGGCCTTCGAGGATTTGACCAGTGAGTTTACCGAGATTGAGGAAACTGTTTGCTCGACCGCTTTCTTTTGGATGTCATTCTGTTTTGTTTTTTGTGTAGGAAGTAAAGGATGACCGCAAGATGTTGGGGCAAGAGTCGATGTCTCAGTCAATGAGTACATGAGTGTTTGGGCAAGAACCCATAAGTACTCAGGACTCCAATGTCTGTGGCCCGTCCAAAGTTCAAAGCTCAAAGTCCAAAGAAAGCACACTCGAAAGGTAAACATGTTCAGCCAACTGCTGCAAAGTCAAAAGCAAAACCAGTTGCGAAACCAAAGGCTCGTCAGGTGAAAGAAAACAAAAAGAAGGCTTGTCAGGTGAAAGAGACCAAAAAGAAAGGCCTCAAAAATGACTACAACAACATATACAGTCGTACGTACCACTGGTACAAGAGATCTGGAGCTACGAAAGAACAGGCTGGACGCAGTCTTTTTGAAACCATGTTTTTTTGGGGGGGTGGACCTTGACCAGGCCGCCCAGAAAGCTCGTGAGGCCGCCCAGAAAGTCTGAGGATCCGAACTTCCAATGTGCTGTGCGAACCGCTGGATGGGGATTTGGTGGAAAACAAGCTGCGGATGGGCGGGTGGGAGTGGCGGCTCTGTGGCGTGGACACAGTGTTGGAGAGTTTTAGAGTTACTTCTAAATTGGAAGAGTTTCAGTCTGCCTGAGATGGCCTTTCATGTTGTCCCAGACAGTGTCCGGGTCATGTCGGTGTGTCTTCCACGCCGCGTCCGCCACGCCTTCCACGTCGCCCCTGTCGATCGGTGCGACACGCGGCGGCGACATGGAGGCGCAAGCTTGGGGAGCAGATGGCGAAGCTGTGCTCTGCTGGGGAACCGAAGGATTGAGCTTTGTGCCACGTGTGATGGCATAAGCTTCTAGAGGATTCGATCATGGCATCCAAGAGGTTTGACTTCATGGGACATGTATAGTCAGACCTGACATTGACAGATCATATACCAGCATATACCAGCACCCTCCAACAGGTCACCACCTGCGACTGTTAAGTCTCCAAAAGCCGCCATTTCGGAGACCTGTAGAGTCGGGTGCTGAGTGCTTTATGTTTTAGACTTGCCGCTCAAATGAACGCCACACACTCCAAACATCCCCAAACATCCGATCATGGCATTGCTTCGCGCACGACCAGCACTCGACTGACCGAGTTCGCCTCACTCGACTGACCACGTAGCCATCCTCACCAGGTCGTGTGTGGCTCCTTGCAGTACCTGCAATTCGCCGACGAGAACAAACAGGCCGCTCAACCTCCCGACCGAGTCTTGGGCGGCCCTCCTCGGGGCCCTGGCGGCCGGACCTGGGGCTTTCCGAGTCAAGAGATCCAATGACATCTTCAATCTATTGTCCAGGTCGTTTGAACGTCAAATGACTGGCCCAAGTGCCAGTCGGTTGTGGCCGTCAGGCAGGTGCCAGTGCAGGTGCCTATCGGCCTGACAGGTGTTTGACCTGAGCAGTTCCATCGGACCTCCGTGAAACGGGTCGGTAGGCCTATGTAGGCCTAGGGTACACAACGGTGATCAACAGGGCAAGAGACCTGGGAGAGTCATGTCTCCTTCATCAATCATTCAGAAGTGAATGCCTGCCAATGCATATCATATCGAATCTTGCTTTTAACTTCACAGCAGGTCTAGTCCAGGACCCACCTTCCTCCCAGTGGTGCTTCATCTCAGCCAGCATGGCTAGTTGAACCGGAGAGCTGCACGACGACTCCGGTCTCTCGCCCTGCCGCGTCTCGCGCGGCCCGGCCCCCAGTTCCATGCCAAGTTCGTGGAATGCTGCCTCGATGCGTTGGGGTGCCCAAACGAGAAGGTGCTAAGGAGACGAAGTACCCAGAAGAGAAGGGGCAAAGGATGGAAAAAGGTGTCTTCTTCAAGTTCTTCAAGTTCCTCAGCAGGATTTTCGTCCCACTTGTGCCCTTTTCTCTTGTACTGGCTGGCGTCTTGGTTTTCCACCTGGGCGGAGTGTCAGTACCGCAGATGGGGGCCACGAGTAAATCTTGAAGGATTCAGAAGGTTGATCTTCTTTGATAGCGCAGCTATCTCTGAGGGATTTTCATGGCAAAAACTAGCACACATGCTTTGCCGAACGCATTCCACTACCATTCATGCCACCGGAGTCTCTCCATGCCACGCGGACTACGTCCTGACACGGACGGCGACACGCCATTGTTTTTTTGCTATACAATCGGATACCGCCCGGATTCAGGAAGCAAACACCGACTTCCAGTGGTTCGGTCACTGGACGACCGGCTCTTCTTGTTAGGGACACGAGCGGATGTGAGAGTCAATCTGAGTTGCAAACCTTCAAAGACTCTTGATAGTGGTCACTGCTACATGTCACTGGGAGAATTTGTTTAAATCCAGCATAGAATCATAAAATCATTTAGAACCCCTACGTACCAAACCATACTTTGACAAGGCCATCACCCGCTTGCCTGACCCTGAGGATGGTGCCACCGAAGCTGGTGCACGCCTTCGTTCAGATGGCGCTTTGGCATGCAGGGGCGTAGTCAACACGTGCGATCAAACGGAGCGGTGTTCCAACGGTATGGCTTTCAGTCTTGCCACCATGCATCCAGACCAATCTGAACTGTTTGACCGGAAAAGATATGAAACAATGACTTTTGGATTACCCCCCGTCCAGAACTTCACTTAAGGAGCCTTGTCCGGTCCTTATACCTTTATATAGCTGGTAGTCATGATCCACCACGTGAAAGAAGATCAAACAAACCTCTAATTCCACAGGGCTTCACTCAAACCCGAGTCCCTTAAAAACCTTCCTTTTTCTCCGCGTTTTTTTAGCCGAGCTTTAGTCGCTCGCTCGTCGCCCTCCTAGCTGCCGCCGACAGACACGAATCGTGCCGATCGAGGCCTTGCATAGCGATCAGAGTACCTCCCAGACTCAGATGGTGGACGATGTGAGGCGCCGGATTGACGTCGAGGACCAAGGCGTCGGTCCGGTTCACGGCCGGGACAAGCCGGGCACATGTATGACCTGGTCCAGGTTTGGAGGCACCCGAAAAGCTGCATGTAGTGCAAAAGCTATGGGAAAGGACGGGGGAACCAGCTTTAGGTGATTTGAATAGATTCACAGTTTCAATGTTCCTCCTGGAATTCATAGAGCTAGGAGCCCCACATGAAGCTCGGGTTGTTTTTGTTGGATCCATTTCTCGGTTCTCAGCACAGGCAACTCTTGGTGAAGATCATCGAGCGTTGCCCCAGTCGGCAGCGGGATACCTGGCAGGTGTGCGACACACGCTTGTGCCGCGCGGAGTTTCGTCCACCACTGGGTTGGGACTGAGGGCTGTAGGATGTGTACGGATGGACTGGAATGGGCTACACTCCTGGACTCCTGGAGATCATCATGGAAGGTGGAAAACCACTTGCAATAAGTAGAGGAAAGGGGTCATCCAAGGGGCCATGCCATCCACGGAACCATGATTTTCAGGGAGTGTGGCACCTACAATGGGAGTGTGATTGAAGAAATGCAGATCAATATTATATACCAGCACCTTCCATCACCTTCCAACAGGTCTCCGTTGCATGGAGGGTTAAACCCGTGCGTTAGGCCCTGTTGCAGGTTGAAACCCTTGGTGACCTGGTTTCAGTCGGTGCTGGCCTGGGTGAGCTGGAGGCCAGCAACACATACATGCCAATGACCCCGTCACACCACCCAGAGTCTACGGAAAGCAGCTCTTGCAGTCGCTGGGTGACCTGGACATGTTGGTGATTTGCAGGAGGGACGGGTCAGAGGATTGGGATGTACGGGACCTTTCAAACGGTCAGAGGAGGCATCAGGTCTGTTTGGTGACTCATATATCAGATCTATTCAGATCTTATTTCTTGGTTCCATTGGCTTCCTCAGTTCTTCAGACATTCTAGATCACCACACTGAGGTTTCACCCATGTTTTAGAGCTTTCACCCCACTTCACAGATCCATACCCTAGCCTTGCAAGACCTTTCAATTAAAGGTTGACCTGTTGTTGTAGTGTAATTTCCTTCGTAAAGCAATGGTTCTCCGGTCAAAATCCTTTAAATCAATGGTTGGCCAGGAAGGCTAGCAGGGCTTATGTTGGAAGCTTTTGGACCTTGGGATGCGCTGATCTCCACTCCGCAGCGCCGCGGATCTCCACGAGCCGCTCTGCGGCAGGTGCTGTGCCTGGCGCTCTTGACCGGTGACATGGACAAGGGCCCCGAATGGTTGTCCGGGCCTCACTGGTGGTCGACAGCTCAATTTGAGGGGAGAGACTTTATACACAAGAGACGAATTAATTGGAAAAACACCCAGACGCTCCATGTATGCCATACATGCCCACCCCAATGTAGGCAAACTATGGCAGTCCCATGGAGCGTCTGGGATATGTTTGTTTTTTTGATGCCCCACTGTTCGGAATACGGCCCAAAGGTGGAATAGGCTGCGCTCAGCGCATGGTTTGGGTGATCTTCCCGCCCCTTCGCAGGAAAACCCATTGGATTCGGTCTGAAGATCTTCCCTTCCGTGCGTCGGGAGCGTGAAGTCGATTCCCTTCTTGGGCTCCCAAAGCACCAAGGGCATCCAAGGGGCTCAGTTTGGTGCTTGGAATCCAACGGATCAGCTCCAGTCGTCACTTCGACATCCGGAGTCAATTCGGCGCCCTTATCTAGACCTCTCCAAGAAGGACTGCCCCATGCGGCCCATAGAAGTACACACATCACATACTTGTATCTGTCGCAAAGCGACCTCCTTTGC